TTTGTGGCTGTGTTTTACAACAATCTGCAAAATGATTGTCGCAAACAAATCGACTTATTCGCATTTTTTCAATCTCCACATCATCCAATTTTGGATTATTCACTCGCCTAATCCAAATCTCATACATCTATAATATTTTGCATTTTAATTTATAACCTATTGAAGAAACACAATATTATATTTTACATACCTTGTCATTCCTTGTTGGAAAACCATGTAATCTCACGGTTTTCTTATTTTCTAAGCAACCAGGAACGTGACAAGTCATTTTTAACACCCTCACTGCACTTTTGTAACTTTATAAGAAAATTCTTCAAACTTCACCAACTAATCGAAAATTATATCAGAACGAACTACGAACGTAATGGAGACTTACGGGATTTACCGGAACAGTATAGGGAAGGGGTTTACGGGAGGGCTTGGAATTGCTCGTATCCATCATAGCGTTCGACTTACGCATGACGGGAGTGGATACTCGCGACATCTGCGCTAACTAGCGTCGTAAGCGCGAATCATGCAAGCGATCACTGACATTTGTTAGAAGTTTGCCCCCCATGGTACACCCATTGTTATATTGTCTCTCACCTCTCACATTTAGACACCTTTTAGACAGTTACATAGAAATCCCAATTGTAAGTATATAATTATTTACGAAAGCGGTTCTTTTACATTTACATGGTCATACATTGTCTCTTCACAACCAATATTATTTCAGGGAACCAAACATATAGTTATTCAAAACCTAGTACAGTTTTGTTAGAAATTATTAGGAAATTTTTAATTAGGGCTTCGCAGAGTGTTTTAGTATAGTTATTTTATTTACCCAGGTAAATGTTATTTAGGTTGTTTTTGTTTGCTTAGTGTGTTTTAATTCTATTGTAGGGTTCACTGAATTAAGATTAGGACTTCAGCCTGAACATCAAAATAGCTACAAGAGTCTTGTAGCATGTAACATCTGATTATTAGAACTTAACTCATATGTATGGATGTATATATATATATATATATATATATATATTACATGCTAGCATATGTATAGTAATGTAATAAACTTAAGTTCAGTCCGATATTTTTGCCTATTTTTATCTTTAAGTGATCTGATTACTTTTTCTAACAATGATTAACATAGGTAATAAGAAACACAATTAAAACCATCTATTTCATCAAATATTTTTATTCAAAATATATACACATACTATTTACAATATAAAGCATGTCACAGGAAACATGTAATAAATAATATAGAATAAATATAAATAACATAGAATAAATATAAATAATATAGAATAAATATAAACATTGAAATTAAACATAAAAAAGAGAAAAGAATTGCATTTTGAAGAAATGATTAGCCAAACCAAAGTTAAACCGAACAATAAATGAAAACTGAATTTTAAAATTTAAATGGAAGTATGGACAGAAACCTTGTTATATAACTTCCACCAACCGAAAAACCGTATTTTTTGTAGAAGTTATTAATAAAACAAAAATGTATTTAGTTTTATAATCATACAAGTCAATTAAAAATTTACCCTTGATATGTTCTTTCAGGCTCTTATCTAACGAAATAAATTTTATATCTTGACTGTGTCCCATATGTGTCTTCCAAAATTCAACATGAACTGTTCCATTGTGATTAATAGTACAACTAATCCTTGATGGGCAAGCATATCCGGTTTTGTTGCTCGTTTTAGTAAACAAGCGTACAGTGGGTTTTTGGTCATATGTATATGACCTGTGGCAATCGAAATAAATTGTCTTGTCATCAGTTTTTGATTTATATCCTGAATTGCATTTTACATAATGCGAAAACTCCTTCCGCTCTATGTCTGTTTTCCACAATTCAAAATCTACAAAGTCAAAAATGTAGGTAATTGTGTAATTAGGGTTATAAATTATGAGAGAGAAGACTTCAAACCTTTAATGTTTTGAAACACAAACTGTTCATAATCAATTGTAGTTTTGTGATAAAACTCAATATGATCGTATAAACCTGTGTACCTAGAAAAAACAGAGGAGCAGGGAGGGAGTGGACATCTTATTCTGGATTTCCTTGATGGTGTACCTACAAAAATGATTTATATGTAACACAATAATAAATAAGATGAATGTACATATATAAAAGCACTACATACCTATAAAATTTTCCTTAGTACTGATTGGGGAACTGGGAATGGGAGGCGTGTGAATTTGAACTTTAGTAGAGGAAGTACAAGGATGTGGCGATAAACTTACGTGGAAATGTTTGTGAAGACGATCTGATATGGAAGGAGCAGAGATAAAAGATGAGCAAGCAGAAAGTGGACATCTTAGTTTCTCTTTTGTTGATGGTGTACCTACAAAAATGATTTATATGTAACACAATAATAAATAAAATGAATGTACATATATAAAAGCACTACATACCTGTAAAATTTTCCTTAGAACTGATTGGGGAACTGGGAGTGGGAGGCGTGTGAATTTGAACTTTAATAGAGGAAGTGCAAGGATGCGGCGATAAACTTACGTGGGGATGTTTGTGAAGAGGATCTGATGTGGGTGAAAGTAAATTGTAAGGTGATGTCAAACATGTAGTAGTATATGAGGTGGGTAAAGAAGGATGCTTTATATTTGTTTTAGTGGAGGAGGAAAGGTGTGTAATGTCTTCAAAAGATACCGAAGAAGATTGGGCAAGTGAAGGGTTAGGGATATTATTATGAACTTGGCTCACATGATGAGTTAATAAATATTTAAATTTAAAAGTTTTAAGGCAGAAAGCACACGCATTGGGATAAACAGCTCTTGGCTCTTTGTCATGTTTTTGTCTCATGTGGCGATACAAGGAGCTACGAGCAGTGAATGGAATCTGACACTCGGTACAGAAAAAGTCGCTGTCCATGTTGTCACATAAGTAAAGTAATAAAGTGAAATATAAAATATAAGTAATGAAGGTAATAAAACGTATCGTAATAAATGTAAAGAAAATTAGAAGCGAAAAAGTAAATATATAAAGTGAGTATCTAAATGATATTAATTCTAAACTAAATATAAACTTAAATGAGCAAAATCTAAAATAAGCTTATAAAATAGAATGTAACCTAATGCAAATGAACAAAATCTAAAAATAAGCTTATAAAATAGAATGTAACCTGAAGTGAAATAAAAGTAAGTATCTAAATAGTAAAAATATGAAACGAAAAATAAACTTACGCAAGCTAAGTAAAAATCTAAAAAAACACGTAACTAAACTAAAAAGTAAAAAATCCTAAAAAACACTTATTGTAACTATGAAATATGAAAAATAAGCATGAATTATAATAAGAGGCTTACTAGAGCAAAAAAAGCAACGCAAGGAAAGCGATCCAGAGCAAAAAAACGAAAAAACCGAACCGAAATATGTGAAAAAAACTGTTATAAACAAATAAAAAAAATAATAGAATTAGAAATAGCAACAGAACGAAAGAATTCTAATTACACGAAAAGAAAAAGCAGAAAATATAATAAAACGCTTACTTGAAACGAAACCGACGCGACGCGACAAAAATGAGAAAAGAACGCGGGACTAAATATTCCACGAAATGACAGGTTATGCTCTATCCCGGAGCCAACTTCAGAGCGTAGGTGCTTTTTAAACGTCAAAACCATAGACCTTAACAATTTCATGGACTGCTAATCCCCATACATTTCTCAAGTAAAAAGTGTCAAAAGATGTTCTATGGTATGAGGGCAAACGAGGGTAGTTTGCGGCCGAGATATGTCAAACTCGATCACTTGAACGTCAAATGAAAGTCCTTGTGTTCGAAATTGTTGGGAAAATATTATATAATATACAATTTATGTTAAACTAATGAATGTAATGAATTATTTATATTTATTTATTTATTTTAGTTATACAAAGTGTTTAAGAAAAATAAAAAAAATTAAAAAATATTTACGTATTATAAAATTCACTGAAAATAAGAACAGTTGGCTAGAGCTATTATGGGAAATTAGAAAGCAATAATGAAATATTTGTTTAAATGCAATATATTTGTTATTGATGTTTAAAAAGCACAATTTTTGTGTGAAAGTGGCGTACATATTTATCAACTTTGCTTTTTTTATGTTCTTCATGGTGCATTCTAATTGTTAAATACATTTTTGCGACAAAGTTGATAAGGTCATGATAGTGCTGGACAAATTGCTGGAAATGGCTTGATCTAAAAAAATGTGCAAGTCCCAAGTCATTCAACTTTCGGAGAATCGTGCTTTATATGAACTTTTGTACATTAAATTTAAAGAATTTGGAATTTGGGTTTCTATATATAAACATAATTTAAACATTGCATTGGAAGGATATGAAAGATATCCTCGATTTTTTATATCGATGAATGTCGAATTTCCCGGAATACTTGCGAAGCATTCAGAACAGGTTTTACTGCAATCAGGAACTTTACCACAGACCAAACACATTTTAGAAGACATTTTACTTTTAACAATCTTATAACAGGTATATTTTTATCCTCTTTTAGTTTAAAAACCCGAGCGATCAAACATCACGTGAACCCAAGTAACTGTAAAATTTAAGCGATCGAGTGCATTCGAATAATCTCGGTAAAGCTCGTGTTCGTATTTGACATATCTCGGCCGCAAAATTACCCTCGTATGCCCTCATATCATAGAACATCTTTTGACACTTTTTATACGCTCAACTAGCAGTCCATGTATTGTATAAGGTCTATGGTCAAAACCCATCTGTCATGTATCAGAAGTGGCTTAGTGGCTCCTGTTTGGCTGTGATAATAATGATCTTGACAGGTTTTAGCTGTCAAAGTTATGAATCCAATACATTTCAACTTGACGTCTAACTTCTATTTCGTCGCCAACTTCATGCTGGCTGAAATATGCAAATGTCAAAATTCTTAGCCTGATTTAAGGTGGTGTGTATTTATGTATTTATCCATTATTTATCTATGGCGTAAATGGTTGCAAAAAGCGTCAATGGCGCTAGTGTTTCTTTGTGAGTTAGAGAGTGTCTGTCTAGGCGAAGCTCACGTTTCTTGGTTCTATGTACAGTGCAGATACAGATACACATTTGGCAGTTTGACATCGTTTTAAATTCGTTTTATTGTCGTGTGTTTATTGTGTATTCCGTACATAATATAGTAATATTCACTTTCACCATGAGCTCGAAGCCGACAAAAACTTTTGTTACATCTACGAGCTCGGTGCAAAGTATCACGTCTCCTACTGCTTCTTATACCTCGGCTAATTTTCGGCCTACTAGTCCTAAGCTGCCCAGTCGTTTGCAGGAAAAAACTGATCTGCAAAATTTAAATCATCGCTTTGCATGTTATATAGATCGGGTAAGGCATTTAGAAGCTGAAAATTCACGCTTAAGAACAAAACTTCGGATATCAAAAGAGACTGAAACTAGAGAAGCCTTAACTTTGAGGACTACATATGATAAAGAACTGTCGGATGCTCGAAAATTGTTAGATGACACTACCAGAGACAAGGCAAAACTCGAAATTGATGCTCAGAGATTATGGGAGGAAAATCATGAGTTGAAAACAAGGTTAGTTACACATGTTATTTATTGTTTATATTAACATCTTGGGTGAAAAATAATATAGAAATTATCTGAATGTTTATTTATTTAACCCTTTTCCGTGCCATTTAGCCCCACATTGGGCTCAAATGTTAGATATTAACACTTGTTAAGCTGATGCTCCAGAAAGGTACCAATACGAGACAAAGTGTAAATACCCCATATATAGACACCTTTCCACAGTACTGATGACTGGTATGAACTCACCAAATCACGAGCTTGGCTCATGATATTTATGTTTAGTGCGACTATCTATTTACAAACCTGGCCTGGATACCATAATGGAATGTAACATATTAATGTAATCTTAGTTATTTAGGCATTCATATCTGCATACACTTGGCAACACACCTACAGGCACTTATGCTTACACACACCCGAACATTCTTTTATATGTAAATTCAAATACACTAGTAATGCTAACAAGTTCTAATTGAATTTTTTTACATTAATATTAATTAGAGAATTAAAAACCACAATAATAGCCGCTCATCTGTTCATGTGGCAGTTCAATATGTAGTTTTTTGTGGTTTTTGAAGTCTGCACTAAGCGGGTTAATCTCAGTGCTCGGATCCAGCATATCAGGTTCATTTTTTTTTATAGCCTTTGACCTTCCATTTTTTTCTTGAGTGCACAAAGTGCTTTAGATATTTCAAAATAATTTTTTGCACTCTATTCAGTTTATTTTGTGATAGTTCTGCATAGAGTGTTCACATTATAGAATTATATTCTAGAATAGTTCTAACAAGGGTAAAGTACAGAATGTAGAGTCCATGTTGATCACACCTTACGAAGCTATGAGTTCGAAGAGCTTAAAGGGTGATTTTATTATGTTGTGCTCCAAAGTGTTTCAGAAATTGACACAGTTCATTTGAATTACAGGATTGACATAGAACACGTTTTTCAACATTCAACATATTAATCTATTAATTTCACATTATTTATATAATTTTACAGTAGGTGTTTATAATATAAAACAGTGATGTATGAAGAAAACATAAGATATTTTGTTTCCAAATACATATTTACATAAATATATATAAAATATAAATAAAATTATAAATTAAATATGGAATGATACTAAACGAATGAATGATTAATTTGAAAAGATTGCATTCAAATATGTTAATACATCACTCGCATTTAGTAAATTAAACTTCTATGGGGAATGACTCTAACAAAATATAATTTGAAATTCATTTCAAATATCTTATTATAAATAATCAACACATGTTTATTTTATTACAAAATCAGCAAAAGGAGCTTGGTTCAAAAACCTACAGTAAATTTGCTATCCCAAAATAATTTATATTTAAAATAATAGTTTATCCAAATTTATTTTATGGTATTGTTTGATTTTGGGTATAAACTTTTATTATCTTCAAGTACTAATTTTGTTAAACTACTTAATTTATATTTTTACTTCAATTTAATTTGAAACTTCAGGCTAGACAAGAAATCAAAAGATTTAATCTTAGCCGAGACTGATGTTCGAAAGTATGAGAGCAAATGCTCGGAACTCAATGGTAAATTCAATATGGCTGTTTTAGAATGCAATAAAGCAATAGATGATCGCAAGGTACTTAATATGTCATTTTGTATTATTGTATGAAATGTTTGATAAACATAATTATTTAGCATTAATGTTATTTTTATATTTTTAAGGAATTAGAGAGTGAGCTGAATAACCGAAGAAATCATTTAGAAGAACTTCGCAAAAATCTAGAAGAAGAAATATTAGTTCGTGTAGATGTAGAAAATAATTTGCAGAGTTTGAGGGAGGAATTAGCTTTTAAACATGAGGTAATTATAATTTCATTTTTTCATTTGGATGGAATTTTTTTTGCAGAAAATAATAATTGTTTTGCATTTTGCTAACACTTATTCTTATAGGTCTATCAGCAAGAACTCAAAGAAACTAGTATGCGACATAAGGTTGAATTAAGTGAAATTGGAGATCTTGCAAAACAATATGAAGCAAAAATGCAAGAGACTATGCAGGAACTTCGTGATCAGTATGAGAAACAAATTAGTTCAAACCGCGCTAAAATTGAAGACATCTATAAACAAAAGGTGAACATATGTCAATGCACTAATTTTTCATCTGGTTTATGCAAAATTGCATATTTGTCTTTCAAATCTATTACCTTAAGGTGAAAATTAGCTAATTGTAAAAAATAATGATTGGTTCATTGAGCTACAATATTTCTGTTCCAATGTACATCAAAAAATATAATAATCTATTTTAAATTAATGAAATATTAACGCCATACCATAAAATTATAAGCATTTTTATTTCTTTATTTATTTATTTTCGTCAGATCAAAAATTTAGAAGGCCTTGCTACTCACAACAGTAGTGCTGCTACAGCAGCAGCTGAAGAATTAAATCAAGCACGAACTAAGATTCAATATTTATGCAGTCGTGTAAATGAATTGGAGGCTTCTTACAATACTGCTAATGTAAGTCTAACATTATTCATTTACACACTTAAATTTGTGTATGTGTATAGTTAATAGATGCTCACTGGTTGTATATATATATATATATATATATATATATATATATATATATATATATATATATATATATATATATATATATATATATGACACCATTTTTACTATTTGCGCAGCATATGTTTTACAACTATTTCATATTTTATGAATACAGCAACGCAGCAAAGAGTTAGAAAAAATGCTAGAAGACGCGCATAGGCGTCATTCTGATAATATGCATCAGTTAGAAGCAGAATTGCGCCTCCTACGGGAGGAGATGGCTGGACAGTTGCAGGAATATCAAGATCTGATGGATATTAAGGTCTGCTTAGATATGGCAATAGCAACTTATAGGAAGTTGCTAGAAGGCGAGGAAACCAGGTTTGTATTATATGGCAGTAATGTAAACATATGAAAAAATTGCCCAAACGAGGTACTATTTACTCTCTATGCTTAAAATAATAACTTGCAGATATTATTTCATTAGTAAAATAAACCAGTAAATTCATGTTCTCATTCGCATATTTGCTTTTATTTGTTTATTTATTCTACAAGCTCTCAGTACAATGATATCATTATAACAAAAGGCTTTATGTGAATGTTACTTTTTGTTTGTATAATTTATTTATTTATTTGTTAATATTTATTATTTTTTTAGTTAATTCATAATTATTTTTGAAATATATATTAAGAATTTTTAACATATTTTAAAAGCATAATTTTTAGATACGAATTTAAATTAGAACGATACGAGTTTAATACATTATTGAATTAGGTATGATAAATAAAAATAGAATTATAATATTTATGAGTATATTTAATTGAAAATTGTCAATATATTTTTGCTGTGAACAGATTAAACACCAACCAGGCAACATCCAGCACAGGTGGAAAGCGTAAACGCACTTTACTGAAAGAATCGCATGAAATCAGTCTTAGTGAATTTACTGAACATCTAATCTGCAAAGGAGATATTGCAATAATAATGAAATGTGACGCAGAAGGTCGTTACATAAAGCTGACAAATAATGGGATTAAAGTAAGAAACTTTTTTTGCCCCACCCAATTTGCATGCACTATATTTACATATTCACAAAATAAAATATACTAATTTCTTATAAAATTTATTTCAACTAATTGGTTATGATTTTTATGTAATTCTCCTTTTGACGTTGCATCATTTCGTTTAGTTGGTTTTAGCACCTGTATTCAAAATTGTTTTATATATCAATATTTTAACTTAAGGCAAGCTGCAAAAACTTCCTGATAGGTGTAATAATTAACTTGATCAACCGAAATTGAGATTTAAATATTTAGATGAAATTAGTTCAACTCTTTATTTCAGAAATCAAGTTTTCGCTTTCAATTCAATCTAAACATCACAATTTCCAATTGGGTTTTCTCATTTTCTCAAACACATTTAAATTATCTATCTATCTAAGACACAAATTTTGATTTAATATTTTATCAAATTTCAATGAGTTTTTAAAATTAAACTATTTGTCGTAAGGCCGTGATATTTCAGTAAGTTCTATAAGACCATGATATCCATTACAAAAAAAAGTTTCATAAAAATTGCCAAAAAAAAAACAGTTAATTACAAGGAAACGGTTTGGTTGCATTCACCCAAAACTAATCAGTATCATTCCGAACCAATATCTTTCGAACAGTTTTTGTTTTTCCGAAATCGATTCAGGATTTTGAGCTAAAAGGTGGACAAAAATTTTGAAATTGTGCCAGCGAATCTTTAACAAAACTTAATCAGGTCGATTTTCAACCAATATTTTTTGGTTTATGAATTTTTGTTTTCGGATTATGAATATGGACTTGCATTGATTAGTTTTCAGCGACGACTGGCCGTGCCATTTTCTAAAAATTCTCAGAAACGTGTAAATATTTTTGTCAATGTTTTAGTGGTTGTTCGTGCAACATAAAAGGCAAAGTTCCACTTGCGACTACTTTATCTTAGTATTGGTGGGTTATTTTGTATGTATTCAATCTTGTAAGATTGGTGAAAAAGAGACTTTTTTGATGGTCAAAACTCAATATATATTTATTTAGTTTAGCTCTTTTTTCCCTTCCATTATGGCACTAATACTCTGTTTTATACATTACTTTGTAAAATGTGACATGATTGTTTTTAATTAGGAAGTTTTTCTTGGTGGCTGGAAACTTATCCAAAAAGCAGGTAATGCTGAAACTGTGTTCAAATTTCACCACACTCTTAAACTCGATCCTGGGGCAAGCACTACTGTTTGGTCACTGAATGAGCAGCAACATCATGAACCTCCAAATAATATAGTTATGAAAGGAAAGAAATGGCTTGTTAATGACATCATTTATACATCTTTGACAAACAGTAATGGAGAGGTAATTAATCGCATGCATTATTCATTCTCTCTGGAATGTATTATTTACATTACTATACTTGCATGTAATTTTTTTTTGTGCATTTTTTTTTTCAAATAATTTAATTAGAATTTTGAATAATTAATATGAAATTGGTAATTGGAAAATCAAATGTTTTTTAAATAGGAAGTGGCAACATTTGAACTAGTGCAAAATAAGTTGGCCAGTCGTTCTTCGCGCATGCAACATTCTGGACAAACCAAATCACTTGGCTCCCAGGAACTTCATGAGCAGGTATTTATTACAAATTTATCTTTTTAACTGTACACTTTGTTGCGATTGAACCGAGTGAAAGAATTTTTTTTATGTTGGACTGTTGATATTATGTTTTAATTTCTTAGTTTTACAAATTGAAATATTTATTTAACAATATGATGTGCTTATAAGGATCCTTCTTGAACAACACACACATATACAAAACACTCATAGTTGTCAGTATTCTTTGTAAAATTTTGTTGTCATGCTTGATTTTTCAGGTGATATTTTTATTAAATATCAATATTTGACAAATTAAATTGAACATTTGTTTTGCTAATTGTGGTGGTAAAAATCGTTACTAAATTGGTGTTGGTGTTGCAGGCTTGTGATTCATTTAAAAATGTTAGACTTATTTCACTTCGACTATTTAATTACCTTCAGCTCTTTATCACATTTGCAATCAATAATTATTGATATGATGATTAATTCTAAAATTTTTTTTTAATTAATACTATAACTTATAATGTCATTTCAGGAAGATCCACAACAGCCAGCTTAAGAAAAATGTCGAGTAATGTAAAACTTGATACAAATTTATAAAATTTTCATTTTGAAAAGAAAATAACATAATTGAAGACTTATAAAACAACCAAGTGAAATATGTTCAGAGATTTTAGTTAATTTTTTTTAATCAATTTTATTTGACTGTCTAATATGTGTTTTGATCATAATACAAGTGCGGCATTTTCTATAGTTAAACGCGTATTTAAAAGAGATTAACTCATGTTGTCATTTTATGTATTTGTATCTCAGATATTAAGCTCAGTTCAGGTTATAAATATCTTAAGAAATAATTTTACGAAAAAAAACTATTTAATTGTTCAATATATATTGTGATATATTTTGTGATATAGGCACTAAATTGTTAATTAATAAGTTATTGTGATATTAAAAAGATTGTATCATTACATAGATTTATATGTTAATCTGTAATCATAAACTATCAACTTCAATCAGAATCATTGTTTCTATATTATCAACCACTCCAAACACATTCCATAATCACAACACTCATGGCCCAACAACACCAATTACATTTCGATGTATACAATATTCTTTTATCTATGTATATACAATATCTGCATATAACTAAAATTCTTGTTTAGAGAATTTTTTTTATTAATTTAATTCAAAACATTATTGTTATAAATTATTGTAAAGTTATAATTGTAAACTACTATTAGCTTTTTTATCACAAAAAGCGAATAATAAAATAGTACTAATTAATACATATGTTGAAACAGTGTTGTAGAATAGTTGCGTTTGTAAATAAATATTTCCAATAAAATTGAATTTTAATTTTAAAATTGAATTGTGTTTCTTTAGTTATTTTTTTATCCTTCACTATTTAAAAAAAGAGGTATTTATTAAATACTAAGAAACAGTTTTTTCATGTATGTAAGATCGGCTACAGGATATGATGAAACATATACTTAATAAAGTATTTTAAGGTACCATTAATTTACTTATAAATTTAAATAATATATCTGTTTTCAGTTAAATTTATCTTATCTTCATATTTTATGTTTGATAAAAAGAAAAAGGTATTTTTTTTTACTGACAATGAGAGCGACAAATCACTAAAAGTCATTACTGTATGCATTTCATGCGCTGTGTGAGAAGAAATTGACATGAAAGTAGTCAATTTAACAAGAACTATTTATAGAATTATCAGGATCAATAGGATGAAGCACTTCAGTGATCAGGTGATATATCCATAATATATTTATACCGTAATTATAATTATCTAAAGATAATTATAATTACGCTCATAATAACTAAGCTTATATAATTTAGATTCTTATTTTAAACTAATTGGTATTGGTATTTGCCTTGAGGCAAGTTACATGAACTTTCCGATATGTGTCGGGACTTAATCAATAAAAACTAAATTAATTTAGGAGTGATTAAAAGTATTCCGAGTGGCTTTATTACACATAATTGAAAACCAACGAACACGTTAGGTCGGAGTATTTTCTAAAAGCAAATTTTCAAAAATCAATTTTTATAATTGAACCAGTTTTCGTAGGACTTTAATATGGTTTAGTATGTTCATTAAGACCAATCACTTTATCGTTATAACAAGTAAAACGTCTAATTTTTTCAAACTTTGATGAATTTTTAAAATTAAACTACTTGTCGTTAGACCGTAATATTTCAGTAAGTTCTATAACACTAAACTAATCAGTATCATTCCCAACTAATATCTTTCGAACAGTTTTTGATTTTTTAAAATTGATTCGGTAGTATGAGCTTAAATGTTGACGAAAAGTTTAACACTGACAAACGATAATCCCCATTGAGATTTGCCACACCTCGTATAGCGAATGGATTTTAAATTTTTTAAATCAGTGCAGCCGTTTTTGAGAAAACGTCGATTTACGGCAAAAAATCTGTTCACATACACGCACACACATACTTTCTCCAAAATTGATCTCATTCGTTTCAGAATGGCTTGAAAAGTCGAATAAACATAAAATTAGCGAATCGGATTTTTTATGAAAACATAAACTTCTTCGAGAAGTTAAAAATATATTAATTTTTTGAATCTAGAGAAAGTTTAAGGCATGCAATATCAGGTAATTGTTATATTAATCACTAAGATAGAAAACGTATTTTGTGACATAAATAAACAGAAGTATGGTTTCAAAATAATGCGTGTTAATAAAACATTAAATAAAAATGGCGGACATTTGAATCACGGGAAACGGTCGTTTTAGTTGTTTTTTATGTTTATATATCGGCTTTAATATCGTGTTTTTTTCTTTTTACATATAGTTGAATAACGGCATATTAGAGGTAATAAGAAATATGGTTTCAAAAAAAAATTAATGTTTCCAGCCAAACGCTTTTCCGTTCACAAGCGGTAAAACAAGTTGACAACTAAAAATTCCCCAAAACGGCGCGTAATAGAAATATTTAAAAATATCAGAAGTTGGAAATGCGCAAAATCCACATTAATAAGAGATGAATTAGAGCCTTAAAAATATAGTAATAAAACCAGAGTTTTAAAGGGTTTTGCATTTTATATATATTTATGTGCCATTATAATGGTAAAGGATTTGAAGACTAAGTAAATAATAGCATCTACATAAAAAAAATGTTTGCGGATTTTAAATGACTATTTATGTGCTAATGATGAGATCGTTAAAGCAAATCCTAGTTTTGAATCGTTTGTAACATGATCAGTTAACAAAATAGTGTAAAAAGATATTTTCATATTTTTGTTAATATAACATTGTATATATAAATATATATGTAATATTATTTAATATTCTTATTAATAATATGCTGCGCGTTTTAAAGTCGTGGATTTCGAAAACACCTGTAATGCAACATGGTCTAGCATTAGAAACAAGCCCTTTGTTTCAAATCCTATGGACATCATTGTTGGCAAAATATAACCTAAAACCAAGTTAATGTGTCAGAGTCATTTTTCTCATAGCTTTTGTAATTTATGTGGTCTGTTATATTATTGAAAAGCACTTTTTTTATCAAATACATTTTTTTCAACAAAGCTTTAATAAAGAAGATCGTAAATCATGGCAGATGATCAGAAGTATATTAAAACACTTGCTATCGCCACATTGGGGTTAGGCTGTGCATATATATTAACAAAATATAGAACTAATTTAAGATCCGTGCTACGAAGATTGACAAACCGAAACTCATTGAAGTTTAAATCGATAAAAGTAATTAACACAGAGCTTGAATGCAAATTCGTTGTAGAATTATTGATGAGGTTTGGGTTAAAATTTTTGCTTTATTATTTTTCAATATCATATTATAAATTATTTTTTCAGGCAATGTTGTGAACTTGGGGTTCTCGGATTTGATTGTGAATGGGTAACAGTAGGAGGAGCTCGTAGGCCTATTGCTCTTTTACAACTGGCATCACATGATGGTTTTTGTGCGTTATTTAGATTATGTCGTTTAAAGAAAATTCCACCAGAATTAAGGGTAATAGTAGAGTCTTGTAGCATCTCTACAAATGCATGATTTATTTGAAAATTAGTATGTAATCACAGCTTGTACAAATGAAATCTTACTTAAGTGATCAATGTATTTTATATATTGAATCATTTGCAATATTTTATTTATTGAGACGTTAAATATTTTTTATCACATTGGGGTCAATTTAAATAGACTCTTTATAATTGCTGTCAATAATTTTTTATAAATCGTATTTTTATAAGGAAAGCAATACACATATTGAAAACTTTACTTTTTTTATCTATTTTTGTCATTGTGTGTTACTGTCTTGTAAATGTAAATGACTTTATTTCTTGGTTTATTGTTCATTTCTAATCTTGGTTTATTGTTTCATTTTATATAGGCATTGCTTGAAGATAACAATATTTTAAAAGTTGGAATGGCTCCTATAGATGATGCCAGATACCTAGCAAATGATTTTTCTATTCAAATGGATGGTACATCAGACTTGAGACATTTAGCAATTGCAGCAAATAAAAAGCCTCAAGGTTAATATTAGAATTATATATTTTGCTGAATCTGAAATTGTGTTTTATGATTTAATATGTTGTAGGCTTAGCTAATATGTCTTCAGATATTCTTGGAGTAACACTTGATAAAAACTGGCGCATCAGATGCTCTGATTGGGAAGCTGAAAATCTAACGAAAGCACAACAAGAATATGCAGCTGGAGATGCTTTAGCAGCCATAGAACTATTTAAAAAGCTTTCTTCCAACTTACCAAATAGTATGTATATGTGTATATACTTAATTATTATATAATAATTTATTTTGTTATATTTGTTTATACTTTTTTACTTGTGTGAAGGTTCCTTGATATTTGCAAAATCAAACTATTTAAAGGCTGCAGATATTTGTAGAAATTTTGTAAACATTAAATATAAGCAAAAGTCATCTCAAGCAAAAGTTCAAAGTGGATTTGGTGAGCCTCATAAATCACAAAGGTATCATTTTTTGAATTTTATTTTTAAACAAAATCTAACTTGATTCAATTTATATTGCTTATTAGAAATGGTACCATATCAAAACCCTATTATAGAAATTTTTCAACTCGAAAAAAACCTTTGTATCACAACTGTTATTTAGAAGCACCAGATGGAGAATTATTGTGCACTTGTGATAGAAAGAAGGCAGAATGGTAAGTTCTGGTATTTAAATAATATCTTTATATTTAAAACTAGATGTAAATTGCATTTTGCCAACTTCCTGATATGTCTAAATAATCTATTTAATGAGATTTATGGATTTGATATAATTTGCATTTTCACTAAAAACCAATGAATGCGATTTTCAATTGATATATATCAAACAAATTTATGAATGATATCAGTAATGAATTAATTATAGTGCACCAACACGAACTTGTATGTTCTGAAAGCACATCATGTTATTTCAAACTTTGATAAGTTTAAGACCATGTGAAATTTATTACCATTATAAGTTTTATTAAAAGCACAAAAAATCCTTAACTTTTAATTTCGAGGAAATGGCACGTACTAAATTTGCCAAAAAATTAATTACAACGATTTCCTATTGATATATTTTTAAAGGTTTTTATCTTTTCAAAATCGATTCAGGATTTTTCGCGAAATAAAAGTGGCAGAAAAACGTCGCACTTTTCTAATTCTGAAGTAACGACTCAACTGATAGTTGCCCAAAACTAATCAACAGGACTTTTTTTTATCGAGTTATATCGAATGTG